CTCTCAGTGGAAGCAATTCCTGGTTTTTAAAACTGCAGCCCATTCTCATTGCAAAGGTCTCAAGCCTTGCAATGTTTCCCATTGAAAATAGAGGCACGCCTATTACAGCTGCTACTATATAGTACCTTCCTTGTACATGGCTCTGAATACAGTTAGAATAAGACATCTACCCCAAACTACTACTACAGCTGCTATTTACATTTATCCCCCACCTTTCCTTAAGCAGCTCAAAGTGGTATACATAGGTATCCTCTTCCCCATTTTATCCTCAAAACAACCCTGTGAGAAGTGCTGGATTTACGTATAAGCTAAACAAGCTATAGCTTTGGGTCCCACTCTCTTGGGGGCCCCCAAAAAAATTTAAAGGAAAAAAACCCTGGATGTACATTTCCAAAAGACAAGATAAAAAACAAATACAATAAAACCTACATACAGCAACAGTGTTTTGTGTCGTGTAGGCTCCTATGTTGTAAGTAATGGGTCCCCAATCATTTTAAGTTAGAACTTAATAATTATTCCACTATTAATATACTTCTTCTTAATTGTATTTCAGTTCAACAATTACTTTGATAAAATACGTATTTTGTTATGTGCAAATGGCTTTAGATACCTATTCGTTCCATAAACTACAATATAGCATATATTCAACACAAAAAACAGTGACAATTTGTTGCTGACAAAGGACAGCTGAACATATAAAGGGCCCCATTACCTTCAGTAGCTTAGGGCCTCACCAAACCTATATCTGGCCCTGTCTGTGAGGTAGGTTAGGCTGAGAGTGAGTGACTCACCCAAAATCACCCACTGAACTTTATAGCTGAGTGGGGATTTGAATCCTAGACTCCCAAGTCTTACTCTAAGCCCTACGCCACAAAGTGTAGTGCCTGTACAAGAGAGGATAGGCCATTAAACCAGACTGAAACTGCAGCACAGATAGGCTTGCGCCAGCGCCAGCAAGTTGACTCCTTGCTCATTTCCCTTTGCCTTTGCAGCCTGAGTTCCATGCGTTGATGATTGCTAGTCATTGAGGATATGATGGGTGCAGTCAGGTGCGTAATAAACAGAAAGTCAAGCAAAGAACAGAAACTTATAGGCCACAAGGTTGACTTTGTCCTCCCTGCCAAAGATGTGTTGTCTTTCCTTGACAACAGCATGGTTAGCTTGTCAAAATTTCATACATCAGTGTTGTTCTCCTTTTCAAAAAGATGCATCAAGAATGCATATTCAGAACATCCTGTTTTGTTTCAACGGAGGACTGCTTGGGAGAATAGTATTTCAAGGCACTGAAATCAGCTAGGGATGGAGAAGAAATTTGACCTGGTACACATTTAAAGGAGAATCTGTTTAATTTGCAATTTCTGAAACAATAGGCGAACTGCCTTCCTTTCAAAATTGACCTTCTCTTAATTTTGTGATGCAATTCTCCAACCAAACTTACTCATCAAAAATAGGATACCACTGGGCAGAGCGAGGCAGCTGCTTCAGGTGTGTGCCTGTGTTCTGAAGACTGCTTTGCACCCCTTGAGCTAGCCTGCTGCTTTCTGGTACGGTGGAGGGTGTGGAAGTAAAATTCAGTTGCCAGTCCAACCAGCTTTTGGATATGGAGAAGGGCTTTAGCTCAAGGGTAGATCATCTAGCTTGCATGCAGAAGGTTCCACATTCAATCCCTGGCATTTCCAAAGAGGGCTGAGAGAGGCCCCCATCTGAAACCATGGAGAGACTATGTCAGTATCAAGGAGCTGTCAGGCGGGCACAGGTCATCCACATGGCAGGAAGAAAGGGGGCATGAAAAGCAATTAGCTTTTATTCACAGAAAGCAACAACACAGCAGAGTTACTCTGGCTCGACTCATTCAGCTTGAGATGTTGCTGAAACTGACCACTTGCCCTGGCTACCTCCTCTAGCCTCTGGCACCAGATCCCTCCCAAGCAGACGGAGACTGCGGAGATGGGGTGAGCTCCTTTTCTGAGCCTGCCTGGCCCATTGCTCAGCAACGTGCAGCACTCTCCTTGAACAGGGTATAAGAGGGGTGGGGGGAGGAGGGCCAGCAGGACTGGGACTGCCCAGCAGCTGGGTAGCAAGGGCAACCTCTGACTCCTCTCTGCCTGAGTCTGTGCTCACACTGTGACTCTCAACCTCTAACCCTACCCTCCTTCTCCTGCCTCCCCACTTTATTGCTCAAACCCCCTGTTTCTAGCACCTCCCAGCTAGTCCCTTCTGCAAACTGCTCTTCAGTGTCTGACCACCATGATCTGGGGTCTAAGTGTGCTGGTCCCGTGGGTTACCCAAGAGGTGAGGTCCAAGTCCGGTCCGTGGTCAAAGGTGCAACGTGGAGGCAGTCAGTAGTAGCTGCAGGGCAGGGAGTCGGGTGAACTCAGGAACAGGCTTGCAAGCAGGGAGCCAGGGCAGGTCAGGAGCTCAGGCAGGGAAGCAGGACAGGGTTCAGGCAGGAACTAGCAACCAACAATGTTGCTCCCGCAACTTGGGACTGGGGCTGGCT